ACGCTGCGAGTGCGCCGAATGCAACGGGCAGGCTATTTAAACTGTTCTTAATGACGTAGAATGAGAACTGAAAAGATTCCAACAGCAACTGCAGCTGCAACTGAGACGGAGACTGAAAATGAGACCACGACTCTAAAGGGATGGGCAAGAATGTGGAAAGGTGGAAAGAGCTCTGCAGTTGCTCTTTTCAATTTGGCGGTGCTTTTTTAAAGGGGTTTATTTTTTAACGGCTTGTACTTGGGTTTTAAGCAGCCATTGAGTCATTGTAAGTAGGAAGAAGCCGAGGCAACTGCACTATTCACATTGAAGAGGCTTTTATACACATAAATATGTGTTTGTTTCAGTGCATTGGTAGTTTCAAGTGATACAGGATTCTTAATCCGGGTTCAATGTACGACACAGTAAAATCTTCTACTCGAGACATCCACATAGTAAAAAGTGCAAGTTTTAAATGTGTATTTCATACGTGAAATTTAATTTGAAATCGATTAAAATGTAATACCACATACCACATGACTTTAATTAAATGCTTTACGGTTATTACTTTTAAGCTGAAATAAGTAATTTAAAATTGATATTGATAATATATATTTTAATTTTGATTTCCAAATAAATTTTAATAATATTTTTTTTCACCCCCAGTTCAATATATATTTTGTAATAAATTAATTAAAAGCGAGGCATTTGAATTCGATTAAAACACTAATTTATTGAAATGCAATCACTTTTAATAAAATAATTGAAATTACAAATTATCCATTCCCATCAAAAAATTGAATATTGCGTTTTAATTATATTTTATTCTTATGAGTTTTTAAAAGTGGTTTAAAATTTAAGAGTTTTAACATAAAATAAGATTTATTTAATGTGCAAAAACCTGTCTTAAACTCGTATCCAAAGAGCGTGATATATTCGGTGCTTTGAGACAAGTATTAAATTTCAGTTCATGTTTTCGTTTTCCAGCACGCATCTGTCAATAAAAATACAGTTGCAGTGTTTTCCTTGCAGCCAGTAAACACGGTGGCTGCCTTCGGCAGTATTTTATAGCGAGCAGATCCTTTGTGCGATGCGTACCCAATTATTTGTGTGTTACTTGTTTCTTACTCCACCCCTTGCCTACCATCTGCAGCAAACACATTTTCCAGTGTGTGTGTGTGTGTGTGTTTGTGGTCGGTATCCTATAACCATTATGCAATAAATGCCATGCAAAAGTATGGAGTTCAAGCTGGTTTTGTTTGCGCTGACAACACAATTGAATTCGCGGAATTGCGGGAATATATGCGCATTTAATATGCAAAGTCTATAGGCGGACTGTAAGCGAAGCGACTGTGGGGAACCCATACGAAGTACAGACTTCCCAGCTATAAGTGGCTCAACTGGCATAATGTTAAGTGATCCCTTGAAGATGAGAAATTCATTCAGCAGAGGCCAAAGTATAATTGGTAATAATACGTAGCAACTTTCGAATATATATTTTAATGTTTCACAATATAATATAAAATGAAACTTAATGGGCCAAATCAATATATGCAAACGAATTATTTTCAAAGCAAATAACCATTAAATTATTAATATTTAATAATCATTATATTAATACTAGAAATATGCGTATAATAAACCTGAAATTGAAAATCATCATCAAAATTATTATCATCATGACTCTAGTTTTTAATATAGATTTGTTAAAAACACTTTACATAAAATATTACATGTTATGTTTAAATTTGCAAGTGGTAATTTAAAATTCCATTGGCTGGATATTAACAGAATAAGAAATAACGGTTTTAACGGTCTGCTTTACTGAAACGGTTAACATGGCCAGTTTAACAGACTAGTGAGAACAGTCATGCGCCACATTCATCGTTCCAAAGGTGTTTCACTACCCCAGGCAGACAAGCGTCTAAGCGAAACGAAACGCAATGAAACGAATTAAAACGGAACATTCTCCTGCAATAAGGGGTGGCAAACAAAGTGAAATGGACAGGAAAATCGTAAGGGAAGCTGCGCCTTGGCGGAGAAATTGTGCGAAACATGAAAAGTGAGAAATGAAACATCAGATTATGTAGGAGCAAAAACGACGATGCCAACGACGAGAAACGTCAGAAATCAGATGAAACTTTCAATTTGCAACCCACTCGCACTGGCACTGGCACTGGCACTGGTACTGGCAGTGGCATTAACACGCTGCACGCGGACTCCTTCGTGCTGTAGGCAACCATTTAGTTGGAAATTTGCATGGCTCGACGGCGGACGTGTGGGCGGATGAACCATCCATAGCCACCAATAAAGCCTTTGCGAGCGTCGCATATAAATTCAAAGGCCACCCGCGAAGTTTAAAAAACTGTGTGAGTGTGTGTGTGTGTGTGCTAACGGCTGTAGTTGTTGCAATTGTTTACATCAAATATCAGGCTGTGGGCGTTGGGTGTGGCACAGCAATAAAAGAATGTTACCACTAATGCGCATTCGATTGCGAATGTGTTTTTATATATGTGCATAGGTCCACGCACTCATAAGCGGGGCCAACAGTCGCGCAAGTGTCTTTTGTGCGAGTTAAATCTAAATCCAAATCCAAATCGAATTCAAAATCAAAATCGAAATCAAAATGTTACTGTGAATTGCAATGTGTCCTTTATAAATCAACAGAAATTACATTTCAAATAGCAAGAATACAACTCCAGCGAGAACATCAACAACAACAACAGCAAATAGATCTAAAGTCAAAAGACGTCAAATGTCGCGTCAATCGCTGATTGCGTCGCTCTGTGAAGATGTGAGCTTTGTGAACTGAATGCTGTGAAGAATGCGGGAAATTATTATTATGTTATGCCTGAAGGCAGACAACTGCCGACAATAACAAACACATGCCTTATTCTCCTCAATATGCGTATGTGTGTGTGTGTGTGTACATGTGGGCGTCACAATTTCTATAGGGTGGCATAGATAACATTCTATTATCTTACACAATATATTGAAATATAATCTGAATAGACTTTGGCTGAGCTCTGGTATTTCAGACTGCCTGCCTGCCCCCACCTACTCGGTCAGAAACTCTACACGCTCATCTATTTCACACTTCTGGGTCGGTTGAAAAAAGGTAGATTTAAAATTAATTAAGGCGTACTTGTGCTGCTTCAGTAATTTTGCGAAAATAGGTAAATAAAAAAAGTTGACCAGCTTCCACTAAGCTGACAATAAAACGGTCAAATCAATAATGAGTTCGGTATCAGGTGGCAGAGAAATAAGTGGAAAAAAAGTTATTGCCACATTTTTTTTTTAATTTTAATTTCTTTAATGGGAACTAATGGAAATCCACAAAATTGAAAAATCTAAAATGCATTTTAAAATTCAAATTTAATTAAAGATCAAAAAGGAAATAATTGAATTACAAATTTGAAATGAAAAAGTAATGAAGGATATAATAAAACTGCGGGTATTAAAATTAAAAAGAGAGAGGGAGAGAGATGAAGAGTGAAAGAGTAAGTAGATTTGAGAAAATAATAGCATTTGTAGCAATATTTATAATGTATCTAATTTGAAAAATTCCAAACATTGCTGCAAATCACATTCTATTTTATTGCATTATTTTGTCCAATTTCAAACACTTCGTTAACGCAAAGCTTCAAATTAGATTTTCTAAATAAATCATAAAAAGAACATTTATAATCCTACATTTATTTGCTTCACGATATACAATTGACGTCAAAATTATGTTAGTGCAAACTTGTTAGCTGTCATCATTTTTTGAATGTGTCTCGTTTTTTGTTGCCCCACATTTCCCCTTTGCTGCGTTGCTTTGCGATAGCACAAAATAAATTGGCTTGTTATTTTCGCACTGTGCTCTTGCTGCTTTCTTTCACTTGCTGCAGAATGATTATTTCTTAAGTTTAAATTGGATTCAGTGGCAGCTACTCTTGTACTGGGTTCCTTTTAAAAAAGTTAGCCTACACATAGAAATGTATACTAAAATGCACATACCAAACTTATTTTCAACTTTTTAATAACTGCTAAATTGGGTCTTTTGATCAGATATGTATTTAACAATTAAGTTGGGAGTTACATTTAGGGGTCTATCTTGATTTCAAACAGATTTAGTAATTATGGATAGGATTATTACTATTACGCTTTCTGTCTAATTCCTCTCTCCACTCACTTACTTGGATAGATTAAAATCTCTTTGGAACTCACGAAATTTGGAAATTGGAAAGCACTTTTTTTAGATTACCTTATGTGGCTTATGAGATAGCTCTTGAGTGCATTTGCTATTTGCATTTAGCCATCGGCGGTATACCTTTACAATCTGAAGCAAACGACGTGGTTACCGTCTACCGAATGCAATTCGTTAACTTATTGACTTACAATCAGAGTAGCTAGTTCTAAAAACTAATGCCCAAGAGGCAAGCGATGCACAGCCAGGCAGCTAACCTGGCACCCTTGGCAGTTTTCCACTCATCACATTACATTGATGTTGCTGGCAACCACTAACGGCCCCACTTTTAGCCTGGTAGCCATTTGTACTTAGTAGCTGCCTAACTGGGTTTTTTCGTTTTTTCTCTTTTGCGGATTGCTTTGGCCAAATAAGTTGAGGTTACATTTTGGGCCCTGTGGCTGGCCAGAAACCAGAGCCAGAAGCAGAGTTACAGTCACGTATCCGGCCGCAAATGCAAATTCAGGAATGCAAGAGAAAGTTGTGCAAAAAAGGGCTTTAAAGCATAATTAAATGTGTTCTATGCAAAAACTCGGATTAAAAGCAGAAGGAAGCAATCAGTAAAAGCAAATAGAAACAGCAACAATAACGGCAAAATAAAATAGAATAAAAACAACAGCAGCAAAATACACATATCTAAAAGGTGTGACACAAAGCAGCCACCAATCCTCGCACGCAATAAAATGCGCTGTCGACGGGCAGCTGAAAAAGCGACAGCAGCAGCAGGAGGAGGTGCCGGAGGAGGAGCAGGAGGAGGAGGTGACGGAGACGGAGGAAGAGGAGGAGCAGCAACAAGGAGCAAGGTTGTAGCAAGAATTGTTGTGAGGAAGAGAATCGGATTTGCTGCTTCTGGATTTGGAGTCAAGGGAGCTGGCAGCGTACTGCTGGCATTTCTGGCAGCTGTCAGCTTTCGTGGCATGCACGAAAGTAAGTACAAACATCTTTTACTTTATATGGTGCCAGAAAATTGTGCTGTTCCACGAAACACAATCAGCTGTAACCCAACAAGATTTATGATGCTTCTAAATACCCCTTTCAGTTTTAGAAACTTAATTCTATCTTTTACCGCAAATAAATGAGCCTTTCCCAGCAACCCAATCAATTCCAACTCAAAAAGATTGATTATACATCTAAGCAAAAAACTTTATTTCATTCGTTTTTTTTTAAATTGCAAACAACTCAGGCTTATGCATAAAAATAAGCCACATCAACCATCAACCATATCATAAACAAATTCTTTGATTGTTACACTATATTCATTAAATATGCATGAAAAACAGCTTGCAGTTCTTTGATAAAGGATCCCGATATTTACTATCCCCTTTATGAGGGGGAAACATTTAGTTCCGCTGCCTTTAAGCAGACTTATCTATAAAAAAAACTCGAAAATATCGTGCATTTATGGAGCTGTAGCTGTATCAAATGATGACGAAAGTAATTTCAGGAATAACAATCTACATATATGACTACTCTACAAACATAGGCACATACTCATACACATAGACATACATATACACATACACACACACATAAGTATACATATATGTGCCTACATATATAGATAAGCTTCTAAATGTGTATATTTCCCACACACGGTCCAAAGTTTTTGTCTACGTGCTTTCTTTTTGCTGTTAGTCTGTTTTTACATGCATATTTAATTCAATTTCGCACATTTTTGTGCAAGTGTCGGGAGCGTTTGCCAAATTTAATTTGCATGATGAGATTTGCCTGGCTGCATTGTCGTTGTATTTGCTGTTTTTACTATATTTGCTGCTGATGCTGTTGGCAACTCGTTTGCACGACTTTTATAGGCATGTCGTGTTCATTCTACCGACCAAACCAAATTTTCATTTATCCAAACACTCACAGATAAACACAAAGAAATATACAAGATGATATTTCCTAAACACCTGTCACATGGTTATGTATTCTAAGCAAGGAACAAAAATTCATTACGCATACGCAATGGTGACCGACTTCTATGCCAGACTCTTGATTCTCGAGTGTGTATCATGAAAATAGTTGACATTTCCTAATTAAAACAAATCCTAGGCAACAGCCTTTCTCTCGAATACAACTCTATAGAAGAATTAATTAAATATGTACATGTTCAACAGGTCGGTTGCGTGATGTGATTTGAAGTACTGCATTGCAATGTGTTACGTGTTGAAATTCAAATAAATTAAAATAGTTGCAGATAGGAGTGAATAGTATTCTCATCTAGCTGGTTATTTTTCAATTATTTGGTACGTCAGATTGATGCATACGATAAAATACAGAAAAATATGAGATAGTACGTAAGGTAATATTTTCTTTTGTGATTTATGTGTATTTTCTTTTTGGCATGTAGAAAGGTATGGAAATGAATGAAAGCAAAACCGTATACATTTTACACTTATAATGAAGTGAAGACTCTTTAATTTGTTAAATAACGGACACATCGAAATGCGGGATTATTTATAAGTCCTTGTGATTTTTGGAAGACTTCAATGCCAACAAAAATTAATAGTCATAATCATTTCAATCTATTAATCCTTATTCATTCAGCTGCACGCAGACTCATCAATCTCAGTTGAGCAATTTCCCAAGGCCAAGGCGATCTCATTAATAACACATGTGTCCATCAGGCCCACTTCTCCACATACTTTCATATTCATGTATATACTATATAATTTAATAGAGACCATCTTGAAATCTTGCTGAGAAAAACAACCCAAATGTGGCCACAATAAAAGCAAAAACGCAAGGGATGCAAAAGAAAAAACCACATAAATAGACACTCAAATAACACTTAAGCCATCAATCAACACAACCGCCAAGGTCAAAGTTAGAGTCAGCGACGAAGTCAGAGCCGGGATGCTAACCCCACCCTCGGGAAAATTGTTAATTACATCATGACAATGAGCGCCATATAAAACAGAGCTAGAAACAAAGTCGCAACTATATTTTATAGGTCTCTGCATACAAGATACAAGTATTTGCCATGAAAATGCCGTCCAAGACAAATGGCGGTCAAATGTCACATTTAATTTATTTATGGAGCGTCGCTGACGCTGGGCGTGTCCGTTTCAAGCTTTAATTAAATAACTGACTCTGCTAAGTGAAGCCAAAGAGTTGACGTTGCTAATACAGCCATTAGCCGAATTCGTGCAGAGCTTGTAAATTTTCATTTCCTCCGAGGCAAGACATATTTCATGTGCATTTCCCGGGGTGGTATGTGTTTAAAAGTAAATGTACATGCTTTTACTGTCTGAATTATTAACTTTCAGACATTGGTTCCATTTTCTGGAGAAGAGCTTATATTACTTACTGCTGCTTACTGCTGTATACTCCAAATACTCACTGGACACTGTAGTCACCTAACTAAACTAGCTATAATCAACAACGGAATCTGCCGATCTTGTGACAAGGATTGATTCGTGGATTCGGGCAAGAATTACTTTTGATGGAGAAGATTTAGACTCGCATTTAGACTCTCTCTTAAATTGTACTTATTATAAGACTTTATTTACAAGAGAGTTACATCTAAAATTTAATGTGAGAATAAAAGAGAAATCAAATCGACTAAATTGATGTGCTGTTGACATGCATGTTTGTACAGGGATTGTCATCTCTGCGCTAAATTGAAAATACTTTGACTGCTTTGCCACGTACTTGGAAATCCAAATATAATCGCTACAAACTGTGTCATCATCAGCAAAAACAACAATCAAGCCAGCAGCGCTTTCAACGGGCTCACATACGTGTATTTACAGTATGCAAGGTATATGTTTGCTCGTGCGTTCAAATTAGAATTAAGCCAACTACAAAAACAGAAACAACGGACAGGCATCCAATTGTTATTTCCTAAACAAAGCACTGAAAAGTGGGCAACGCTCTTCTACGACTCTTTAATGCAATCAAAGTGAGCCAAGAGCGCAATTCCAATTTGCCAAGAGCTCAATGGGCGTATACGTGATGCATTCAGCACTTAGGCCATGTAATTGCTGTGTGCAAGAGCAAAAAAAATTACCACAGAAAAATCAAAGTCATTTTCGATGCGAGCAACGCCGCGTCATTTGTTAAAACAACATCTACATATGAACACTTGTGTATTTGCATACACATATCTGCTGCTAGAAGGGGAAATTACTCTGGTAGTGCCGGAAAATAAATACCCTGTTTGTCAAATAACAAAATAAGATAAGAAGTGAAATATGATGTTAAGATTTTCCTTTGTTCAAAATAATAGAGAAGAATGAACTGGAATATTATACACTGTGCAATCTTTTCTACACGTATTTCAAGTCCAATTTATGCATAAAAGAAATGTGAGTTAAAATCAAAATTTAAAAATCTGAACTTGTTAAATCAGCTTTAGAAATACCTCATCAACAGTTTAATTGGCATACGTCTTATCAAATACTAAATTCTTCAAATTATTTAATCACAAATTCGCTTGATTAAGTCAGAAAGAGAAAGAGAAAAAGAAATTTACTTTTGCTAGCCAATTTGTTGCTGTGCACATAGAAACATTTTTGTAGACTTTGCTTGACTTAAGAGCAAAATATGCTTGCAAAGATGCCATTTTTAAAAAGGTCATGTTTTACAAGGAATGCATGAAAATTGTTACATTATTGGACTCATATCTGCGATGTGCAGCAAAAGTGGCGACCCAGTCGCATTTGCTCTCTTTCTTGCAGAGCAGCCACAACAATACAAAAACGACGAGGGACACTCTTCATGTAGCTCGGAGATTGTGTGTGTGTGTGTGGGGGGTGTGTGGAGGGAGTGAATGGCAATAGGCTGGAAAATTTATGATTTCATACTTTTTGCGCATGTTTTTATTTTTTTTGTTACACGTTATATTGGATTGTGTGTACGGTGTTTTGGTTCACAAACCAAACCGCCGCCGGAGATGGGTTTTGCACGCCTTTTACTCAGTCCGGAAACTGGCTGCTGAACGTATTGACTTTTTCGCTTTAAGCTTACATCGGGTGTGAGTGGCATTTGAGCTACTCGAATATATAGAACACTATTTGCTTGTGTTTGTCGCCCACAAGCTGGCCAAGTTTGCAAGTTGGCAAGTTGGCAAATGGACCAGTTGACCACATGACCAGTTGGCAAGTGCGTGAGGCAGTAACCAATATTTGCTTTCTGTGTTATATGACCCAATAAATGACGAGTTATGCCTTCTAATTAATGTGCTAATATATGCGTATGGCAAATGCGACTAAAGCATTGATTACAGCTCACAAAGTCTCTCTGTTGAGGCCTATTTAATATTTTATGACCTCCGGGTAATTAACATAGAGAATGGAAAATGGCCTAATTATGCCGCGCGTTGGCGGCAGTTTGCGGCTGTGAGACTCCCCCTGGTTCGATACTCTGTAACCAGAAAACTTAACATGAAGTTTTGCTCATATCGTTAGTTCTTTTCCTTGCAGTGAAGTGCTGCGAAGGAAACTCATAACACTTTGTAAATTCATCAACTTCTCGTTCGGGGCACTTTACTTTACCAAACACTTTTTTCGCATAGTATTTTGCGCATCTGTCCGTAAGAACGAAATTTGTTCGACGCCATTGAGGGAGCAACTTGAAACTTGTAACGGATACTGCTTCCGACAGTGTTCAGCCATTTTTTTTTTTTTTGGCTTAGGAGGGATACAAAGTTGAGAATATTGAAGCTGGAGTCACCAACTGGAAGCTTGATTAATGATGAGCGACCCGTTAAGAGTCGTGTTAAAAGTGTTATCGCCAAACATACTTTGTACCCGTAAAATATATTTCGTCTCTTACGGCTTTAAAGAAATGGTCTTAACCGTTTTGAAGTCACTCAAATAGTATTGAGCGAACGAAGCAGTCGATTATGTCCGTCAGCAACACTCAACCTCCTTTTTTGTGGTATGGAAACTATCGCTGGATCAGGTCAAAAGGGTGAAAGAAAT